ATTGAGGAAATTTCAATTGACAGCACCGTCAAATGAATTTATACACACACAAATTTTCGGTTATGGTTAACATAATTCAAGTCTTTTTATTGAATTTTTTGTTTAAAATTTAGTTTTCCGTTTTCAGTAGGTTTTTTTGCACATTATATTTTTTGTACGAATTGATCGTGATAGTTGCGGATCTGAATAAGCCACTGGAACACGGCTGTTTGTCAAAAGCATACGATTTCGAAATCGCGTAAAGCCTGATATACAGTTCAATGCGAGGGTGAGCCTGAGCTTTTTATTTTGACCAATATCTCCGTTATTACTCAACTTTTTGCTATAGTTGAGACATGAAAAGATAGTGAATTAAAATATATTTCAGAATTATAGAATAAAAACTAATTTAAAATGCATAATATGCTTTTTTTCGAGCTCACACTCCACTGTGTGCGTACGCAAAGCATTCGCATGTGAACGGCAAGTTTTGACAGATGAGTGTGAGCGTCCNTAAATTCTTTGCCTTTGCGAAAGTTCACACTCACGCTCGCATTGAACTGTATATCAAGCTTATTGCGTGGTAGAAGCTTGAACAACTTTTTGAGAGACTTTACCTTACCGCACTGCCTCTCTTGCCAACAAACTGAGTTGTTCCCGTGCTAGAAATGTTCCAGTGTGAAAAAATATGTTCGAACGTGCTAGATGTTGCATTTTAAATGCAGCAAAAACGCTGCATTTTTCTCTCAATTTTTCTAATCTCTTCTTCCTGAAAGAAAGAAAAGAAACAAACCTATTTTCTAGTCACTTGGCATCTCTCACCGTAGTTCACGTACAGCTGATTTTGACGTTTCTGGAACACATGAAAAAAAAGATCGTAAAAACAAATTCGTAATTTGTGAAATTACCAGGAATATACGAAAACAAATTTCTTTACACATTACATAAAATGGTAAGTAGACCGAATATATTTCCGTAGTCCTACATGCGTTCTTAAAAACGTTCTCCTGCTGTAGGCAAGCTCGATAATAGTTGCTGGCATAGGTCTAGCTGCAGTTGGTTTTGCGGGGAAGCATCTCATGCGCCGCATGCCTGCTATGGCCACAAAATTAAGCGAAACTATGAAAAATCTACCCAAATTTGACGCAGAAACCTTGGCGAACTCGAAATACTACAAAGGAGGCTTCGATCCAAAAATGAATAAACGTGAGGCTTCTCTGATTTTGGGCGTAAGTCCTAGTGCGTCCAAATTGAAGGTAAGTGAACATACGACTTATTATCAACTTTTATGCAGGCTTTACGATATTATTCTTAACAGATAAAAGATGCACACAAGAAGATCA